TTCCTTTTTGTTTATAACTGTCAGGCATGAGTCATCCCTTCACTGCGAGTATTGCAGAATTGCATATCACAATCTAGCCTAATTTGTACCGCTGCCAGTCTCCACCAGCAGCTCTTTGCCTATCTTCTGACAATCATGATACTCAGAGCAGTGAGACCAACTGCATACTTTAGTCAGTTGGGGAAGGGAGAAGAGAGAGCGTGATACCTGTTTTCTATCCATTGTTGTTTAGTACAAGGTATATTGAGGAATAGGCAGCCTCTTTCTGGGTGCCAGTATTTCAGGCTATGCTCTACCATTAGAAAGCCCAAAATCCATTTTTGTTTTTTTTGAGGCAGTGTCTCACTCTGTTGCCTAGGCTAGAGTGCAGTGGTATGATCCTGGCTTACTGTAGCCTCCGCCTCCTGGGTTCAAGTGATTCTCATTTTTAGCCTGCCAAGTTCCTGAGACTACAGGCATGTGCCACCATGCCCAGCTAATTTTTATATTTTTAATAGAGAATGGGTTTGGCCATGTTGGCCAGGCTGATCTCAAACTCCTGGCTTCCCAGAGTCCTGGGACTATAGGCATGAGCGAGCCACTGTGCCTGACTTCTAAAATGCATTTTTTAAATAATGAATTTACATCTATAAGCAAATAAAGCCAACTGTCTTTTAAAAACAGTATTGGGCTAGGCGTGGTGGCTCATGCCTATAATCCCAGTACTTTGGGAGGCTGGGGCAGGTAGATCACCTGAAGTCAGGAGTTCGAGACTGGCCTCACCAACATGGCAAAACCCCATGTCTACTAAAAATACAAAAATAAGCCAGGCATGGTGGCAGGTGCCTGTAATCCCAGCTACTCGGGAGGCTGGGGCAAGAGACTCACTTGAACCCAGGAGGTAGAGGTTACAGTAAGCTGACATCGTGCCACTGCACTCCAGCCTGGGTGACAAGAGCGAAACTCTATCTCAAATAAATAAAATGATCCTTTGAGGAAAACCTGAAAGTTTACTTTAGAATTTCAAGATAATCTATCAGAAAAAAACAAGCAAACAAAATTCTTTGTGGAATTTTCAAATAATACTTTGGTTTTGAATATTTAGGCTTTATTTATTTATTTTTGAGACAGTTTTTTGCTCTTGTTGCCCATGCTGGAGTGCAATGACACGATCTCAGCTCACTGCAACCTCCACCTTCCGGGTTCAAGTGATTCTCCTGCCTCAGCCTTCTGAGTAGCTGGGATTACAGGCATGCACCACCATGCCTAGCTAATTTTGTTAGGTTAGGCTGCTCTCGAACTCCTGACCTCAGGTTATCGGCCCACCTCGGTCTCCCAAAGTGCTGGGATTACAGGAATGAGCCACTGCACCTGGCCTAAGCTTTTCCTTTAATAAGTTTGCTTGGTTTATTTATGTCTTTTTAAAAATGTATATATTTAGGGCAGCTTTGTAATATAAAAAATTTTCCACTTATAATTCTTTTTTTTTTTTCAAGATGGAGTCTCACTCTGTCGCCAGGCTGGAGTGCAGTGGCTCAATAACGGCTTACGGCAACCTCCATCTCCTGGGTTCAAGCGATTTCCTGTCTCAGCCTCCTGAGTAGCTGGAATTATAAGTTGCATCACCAGCTAGTTTTTGTATTTTCAGTAGAGACGGGGTCTCTCCATGTTGGCCAGGCTGGTCTTGAATTCCTGACCTCAAATGGTCTGCCCACCTCAGCCTCCTAAAGTACTGGGATTGTAAGTGTGAGCCACCACACCCAGCCTAATGTAACTGTTTTCCTTTCTTGGGATTCTTTTTAGTCTTTATCTCATTATTTATATGCGATTATAATGTTGGCATTTGTGCAATTGTGGATTCTATTTTAAACCTTAAAATTTCTTATTTACCAACTTTTTGAATGTGCCTCACTGCAGTGATTCATACTCTAGCATGTGTGACTCAGGGTAGTGAAAGGGGGTTTGTTTTGAATAGCAAGATGAGTATTAGGCTAGTCTTCCAACTAGAAAACATACCATGCAACTTGAGACACAGATGAAACAGCAGATTTCTTTCTTGGCTTGGGGTTGGGTAAAGAGTAGATTGACTTATGTAGTGTTTGCTAAAATGACAAATGGTGAGATGCTCAAAGCACTTTGAGCTTTAGGTAGTTCAAAGTGGCCAGGCAAATTCAAGTTATATGACCTACCTGAGAATAAAGCTTAGTTATCTGTGAGGAAAGAAGTTGAAACCTTTGTGCTTTGTTGGAAATAAAAAAGATTTTAAAAATTCAAACAGGGCTGGGCACAGTGACTCACACCTGTAATCTCAGCACTTTGGGAGGCTGAGGTGGGCAGATCGCTTGAGCTCAGGAGTTCAAGACCAACCTGGGCAACATGGTGAAACCCCTCCCTACACAAAAAAAAATACCCAAAAAAAGTATAAAAATTAGCTGAGGTTGGTGTCTCACACCTGTAGTATCAGCTACTCAGGAGGCTGAGGTGGGAGGATCACTTGAGCCTGGGAGGTTGAGACTGCAGTGAGTCTTAATTGTACCACTGAACTCCAGGCTCGGTAACAGCATAAGACCTTATCTCAAAAAAAAAAAAAAAAAGAAAAGAAAATTAATCAAAAATATCTACTGCTCATGCCAGGCATGGTGGCTCACACCTGTAATCCCAGCACTTTGGGAGGCTGAGACGGGTGGATCACTTGAGGTCAGGAGTTCAAGACCAGCCTGGCCAGCCAGCATGGTGAAACCTCATTTCTACTAAAAATGCAGAAATTAGCCAGGTATGGTGGCATATACCTGTAGTCCCAGCTACTTGGGAGGCTGAGGCAGGAGAATTGCTCAAACCCAGGAGGCAGAGGTTGCAGTGAGCCAAGATCACACCATTGTGCTCCAGCCTGGGCGACAGAGTGAGACTCCATCTGTGAGATTCTGTTTCAATAAACAAGTAAATAAACAAACAAACAAAACAAACCTACTGCTCAAATAGAATAAGAAATAAAAACAGAATATTCATCTGAAGGAAACAAAATTGTGTATTTTTTAGACTTCGAATAAAGTAAATGTTCTTCATCTCATAACTGTTAAGGACACAAACTTGATCATATTTGTGTTGAGTTTTTTTATAACTCTAAAATATGCTAGAGTTCTGTGGAGGATTGATTGAGTTTGCAGACCCTGAAGACATCAGGAGTCTTATGTACCTACAATGGTACTATATTGATATGTGTGAGTCCCTAGTTAACTGTTTATACCTAGAATGCCAGGCAAGTAGACAATGTCAGAGACAGAGGAACAACGGCCTCTTCAGTGGATGGAGATGCAGTAGATGTACATATGCTCTTGTGTGTTTGCAGCCTTCACAGGAAAGAAGCAGAACACAAAGTGGATAGTGCAGGCTGGGCAAAGGACCTGTGAAAGGCTTGTTTCTTTTTTTTATTGAGACAGAGTCACTTTGTTGCCCAAACTGGAGTGCAGTGGAGTGATCTCGGCTCACTGCAACCTTCACCTCCTGGGTTCAAGCCATTCTCTGCCTCAGCCTCTGGAGTAGCTGGGCCTGCAGGCGACCACCACCACACCCAGCTAATCTTTGTATTTTTAGTAGAGATGGCGTTTTACCATATTGGCCAGGCTGATCTCGAACTCCTGACCTCAAGTGATCCTCCCAGCCTTGGCCGCCCAAAGTGCTGGGATTACAAGCGTGAGCCACTGTGCTGGCCTAGAGATCATTCTTGAAACTCACTTCAGCAGCTTGGGTATTTCAGTTGGGATCAGGTTCAATTGTGTGTAACAGATCATCAAAAAACAAAAATAAAAAAACCAAAAAGTCAGGAACTTAAAGATAGAGTTTTTGGTGGTTTTTTTTTCCTTGCATATAAGAAGTCTGAAACTAGGTAACTGAGAGCTGATGTGGCAGCTCTGTGATCACCAGAGACCTAGGCTCCCTCTTTCTTTTGGTGTCATCATCTTTAGTGCTGACTTCCACCCTCAGGTTTGCTTTAGGGCTGCTGAGTGATCACTGCTGTTCTAGCTGTCATATCTGTGCTCCAGGCAGGAAGAAGGACAAGGCCACAGGGCATATTTCCTGGTAGAATCCACCCCCTGTACCCTAAAGGGCTTTCCTGGAAACCCCACCCACTTTTTGGACACCCCTATCTGTAAAGGACATTGCCCTCCCTTATCACATGGAGACTAGGTATTGGATAGGCAGATGTTCTCTGTCATACCAAGTGATCATATTCCTAAAGGTATTATTTAGAGTTAGGTGGCTAAGACTTTGGGATACCTACAGACTCAGAATAGGACAGTAATAATGTTTGGTGAAACTGGCTTTAAGTTTCCTGCAATTGATTGATTTGACAGTATTTAGGACATGCTAGGCACTGGAGCCACAATAGTAAGCAAAATAGACCTAGTCCCTGCCTTCAAAGAGTTTACAGACAGATAGGCAAAAGAAGAGTTTTAAATAAGCGGATTATAAATATGTTGAACCTTAAGAAAAGGGAAGTAGAGTGTGCTTGGTTGGGATTGTGTAATAGGAAAGGCTCTATAAGGTTATGTTATAACATGCATTGAGACTTAAAGGATGCTTAGAAGTTAGGTCAGAATGGCAGAGAGGGAGGTGTGAGAGGAGGGCAAGAGGGGGAATGCTCCAGGCCAGCTCACTTCCAGTCTGATAATCTCCGTAACAATTCCTTTTTCTTCCATTATTTGTCTTAATTCTTCATCAGAGGGACTCAGTGGGAAAATCTAAGCAATAAAGGAAGGCAGAGAGCAAATTTTTTTTTATCTGAATGGCTAAGGGTTGCTATCCTTTTTACTTCTTTGTTTTTTCACTCTCTCTAGACGAGTGTCTGCCTTTATAGGCTGCCCCAGTTAGCGTTGGTAACCGAGGAAGGTGGATCAATGGCTGGGGTACCGAAGTCCAGTTGTTCCATTGTAGATCAGGATTTTGGTCTCAGTGTGGGACTCTGGGGAGGCAAGGATTGGTTCTGACCCTGAGGTGCTGATATGACCCCCTTCCCCTTCCAGGAAGTGGACATTGTGGTAGCACCATGCCAAGGCCTCCGGCCCACAGTGGATGTTCTGGGTGACCTGGTGAATGATTTCTTGCCTGTGATAACCTATGCACTCCACAAAGATGAACTTTCTGAGAGGGATGAGCAAGAGCTTCAGGAAATCCGAAAGTATTTCTCCTTTCCTGTATTCTTTTTCAAAGTGCCAAAACTGGGCTCAGAGATAATAGACTCCTCAACCAGGAGAACGGAGAATGAAAGATCACCGCTTTATCACCAGCTAATTGACCTGGGCTATCTGAGCAGCAGTCACTGGAACTGTGGGGCTCCTGGCCAGGATACTAAAGCTCAGAGCATGTTGGTGGAACAAAGTGAAAAGCTGAGACACTTGAGCACATTTTCTCACCAGGTGTTACAGACTCGCCTGGTGGATGCAGCCAAGGCCCTGAACCTGGTGCATTGCCACTGCCTTGACATCTTTATTAACCAGGCATTTGACATGCAGCGGGATCTGCAGATCACTCCCAAACGTCTAGAATATACTCGAAAAAAGGAGAATGAATTGTATGAATCACTGATGAATATTGCCAACCGAAAGCAGGAGGAAATGAAGGATATGATTGTTGAGACACTTAATACCATGAAGGAGGAACTTCTGGATGACGCTACTAACATGGAGTTTAAAGGTAGGTCCCAGAGAGCTTGCTGGGGTGCTGGCATGTAGGAGTCTCTAATGATTTTCCAGCCAGAAATTAAGAACATTAATTTTTAAGGTTAAAGGAATCTCAGGGTAATTTCATCCACCCCACTGTTATCAGCAGGAGCCTACCTGAAAGCCATTTAGCCAAGATGGCCTCTCTCGCTCTCAAAGATCATTGTGGAAGATTTCACCCTCATTCCTTCCCAAGTACATTAGCTTAACTTTTGATAAATTCATTCTAATAGCTCCCTAATCTCCACTTTCTGTCTGTACCCCTTCAACCCCCGATGGAGCTGGAGAGCTGCTTGGAGGATGTTAGTAAATTGTGCTTTAACCTTTGCTCCTTCAGTATGGCTCATGCCTCTTTATTGGTTCTTTTTGTCTCATAGTGTGTTTCTTTTCAAGCCGTTTCTGAAGCCCAGCTCAGAAGGATTTCCTAAAGTTGTGTTTCTAGCCTTTTAGCAGTCCTATTCTTCACAAATGGCTACTAACAAAATTTGGTGAAAGTGATCGGTCAGGTCTTTGGGTGTCTGAGATGCTGCTGACTTTGTATACTGACTTCTATATAAACCTCCTTGCAAGACTAAAATGACATGGTTTGCAAGTTACCCTTTAGAGTCTCAGTTGTGGGTATCCTAATTTCTTGGGAGGCTCTCTGAAAATACAGATGCTCAAGACCACTAAAGATCACTCCAGACTTACTCAGGATTTCTGACATGGGACCCAGCATCAGTATTTTAAAAAAATAACCTCCCTGGGTAGATACTGCTTATTTCGTTTTTCTAGATTTAAGTTATTTGCCCATGGTCACACAGCTAGTAAATATTAGAGGCAGGATTTGAATCCAGACAGTCTGGTTCCTGAGCCCATACTCTTAATTTCCATTCTTTACTGCTTCTTAATCTGTTTCCAGTTACTAATGCTACCTTCTTCCTGGTACCCATCTTCAAAACCTCAGCATGGTCTTAATTGTCTTCCCTTGTCTAATCAGTTGCCAAGTACAGACACACACACACACACACACACACACACACACACAGAGAGAGAGAGAGAGAGAGAGAGAGAGAGAGAGAGAGAGAGAAAGAGAGAGAAACAGAGTCTCACTCTGTTGCCCAGGTTGGAGTGCAGTGGTGTGATCTCAGCTCACTGCAACCTCCGCCTCCTGGGTTCAAGCAATTCTCTTGCCTCAGCCTCCCGAGTAGCTGGGATTACAGGCACACGCTGCCACACCTGGCTAATTTTTTGTATTTTTAGTAAAGATGGGGTTTCACCATGTTGGCCAGGTTAGTCTCGATCTCCTGACCTTGTGATTCACTTGCCTCAGCCTTCCAAAGTGCTGGGATTACAGGCGTGAGCTATCATGCCCAGCCTTGATTAATCTTCTTCCATATTGAATACCTACCTGTGCTTTTCTGTTCTGTCTCCTCAAGTCTAACTGAACTATTGTTATCTAACTGATCTCTCTGACTTCTTTCTCCAGTTTACCTGGCTCCCTATTTCTACAAACTAAGTTTAACTCTTCCACCTAGTATTAAAGACCTCCCAAAGCCTAGCCCTTACCAACTTTTCCAGTCTCATTTTGTCACTATGCACTTTACTGTAATTTCTTTTTGAGTTAATCTTAACTTCTTTCTGTCCTCCATGTGCTCCCTTTACTTTTTCTTTACTAACACCCTGCCTTAGACCTGAAACATCTTTGATTTGTCTGTGAACTTCCAAATCCTACCTACCCTTCGGGGCCTGTCTCCCTAATGCCATTTTTCATGAAGTCTTGTTTAATTTTCTCCTTCTTCTTTTTTATTTTTGAGATAGGGTCTTGCTTTAGCATCCGGACTGGAGTGCAGTAATGCAGTCGTGGCTCACTGCACCCTGGGCTCAAGCAATCCTCCTGCCTCAGCCCCCGGCATACTTGGGACTACAGGCACATGCCTCCATATCCAGCTAATTTTTTGTGTTTTTTTTTTTGTTTGTTTGTTTTTGTTTTTAGAGACAGGGGTTTCACCATGTTGGCCAAGCTGGTCTCGAACTTCTGGCCTCAAGCAATTAGCCCACCTCAGCCTCCCCAAAAGTGCTGGGATTACAGGCATGAGCCACCACACCTGGCACTGTTTTGATTTTCTTAGCTAATAACAATTGCAGTTATTTGAAATCCCATAGCATTTCATCTGTAACTTATTTCTGGCATATTTTACTTTCCTTTATTATAGTTATTTATGTACTGCTGACTACTTCCTAAAATCCTACAGTTGAAAGAGGATAGGGTCTGTGTCTTATTCATCATCATATTCCTTGCAAATAATAACACTTGTTTATAGTACATCTTTGGAGAATCAATGAGTGTGTGAATGGTGGTATCTAGTTTAAGTTACACTTATAAATACGAAGGAAATACGGTTGACTTTAGCAAGCATAGATTGCCTAATTTCTTATAGTCATTCTAAAGATGAACAGGGATACCTCTTTGGTTAATTCCCCACTGCAGGGAGGAGTTGTTGAGAAGTGTTACTTGCAGTGGAAATCTTAGGAAGTCTTCTCAATATTTGATTAAAGACACCAGAGCATCAATGCCGGCATCACAGTACACGGGATGAAGGGAGGTCAGGACAGCTAGGTTGGGCAGATGGTAGAGTAGTCGGTTGTTCTTACCTTGTTCTAGGTGGAAACAAGAAGAAGAAGATTTAGAAGCAAGCTAGCTCATATCCTATGAAGCCAGATTATTTAATTAATTAATTAATTTATTTGTAGAGACAAGGTCTTGCTGTATTACCCAGGCTGGTAGTGATCCTCTCTGCTTTAGCCCCCACAAAGTGCTAGGATTACAGGTATGAGCCATTGTGGCCAGCGTGGAGCCAGATTACTGTTACTATCTTTTGTTTGTTTTTAAATAAAGGCATTGCATATGTGCTAGGTATCATGATATTCACACTTTATAATTTTTTAAGATAAAAACTATATTTATGGTACTTAATTCAGAGTAATAAAGACACCATCCCCCTAGCCATCCAGTTCTTCTCCATATGTTCTTCTGCACTTGTCTTTTTCATTTAATGTGTATCTTAGCGGGCATTCCATAAGTATACAAATTTGTCTTCTTCTAATGTATTGAACTGAATGTATTGAACTATCCTCTCATTGATGGACATTTAATCTGTTTGTTTTTGGGTTTTAATTTTTTTTTTTTTTTTTTTTTTTTTTTGATACAGGATCTTGCTTTGTCACCCAGACTGGAGTGCAGAGGCATGATCTAGTCTCACTGCAACCTCCACCTCCCAGGTTCAAGCAATCCTTCCACCTCAGCCTCCCTAGTAGCTGGGCCTACAGGTGTGCACCACCACATCTGGCTGATTTTTGTATTTTTAGTGGAGACAGGGTTTCACCATGTTGGTCAGGCTTATTTGTTTATTTTATTTTATTTTATTTTTTGAGATGGAGTTTTGCTCTTGTTGCACAAGCTGGAGTGCAGTGGCGTGATTTCAGCTCACTACAACCTCCGCCTCCCGGGTTCAAGTGATTCTCCTGCCTCAGCCTCCCGAGTAGCTGAGATTACAGGTGCACACCACCACACCTGGCTAATTTTTAGTATTTTTAGTAAAAACAGGGTTTCACCATGTTAGCCAGGCTGGTCTCGAACTCCTGACCTCAGGTGATCTACCCACCTTGACCTCCCAAAGTGCTGGGATTACAGGTATGGGCCACTGTGCCTGGCCTATTTATTTTTTATTTTCTCTTTTGCTAATACAAACTGTACTGTACTCATCAGCATTGTACATAGACATCTTGGGACTTGTAAGGGTATACTTCAAGACAAATAATTCTTAGAAGCAAAATAGTTAGATCAAAGGGTATGCATTTTTTTCTTGGTTAGTTCAACATTTTAATAGATATTGGCAAATTTTCCCTGAAGAAGTGGCACCAATTTAAGTTTCCACCAGTAGACATGAGAGTGCCTTTTTAGAAATACATCTTTTTGCAAGTGGTTTGACTTCTCTGAAGTTCTTCTGTCCTCTGATTGACAAAGTAGATGTTCTAATCCTAAGAGATAGTGTGGCATGGTGGGGACAATTGAGTTTTACTCTTTATTTATCCAGTAATTGATTAGAATAAAATTCCTGGCCAGGTGCGGTGGCTCATACCTGTAATCTCAGGACTTTAGGAGGCTGAGGCAGGCAGATCATGAGGTCAGGAGTTCGAGACCAGCCTGGCCAACAATGGTGAAACCTCATCTCTACTAAAAACACAAAAATTACAGCTGGCGATTGCCTGTAATCCCAGCTACTTGGGAGGCTGAGGCACAAGAATCACTTGAACATGGGAGGCAGAGGTTGCAGTGAGCTGAGATTATGCCACTGCATTCCAGCCTGGGCGATAGAGCTAAACTCAGTCTCAAAATAACAAAGCAAAACAAAACATAGAATAAAATTCCTGACTCTCAGATTTTTCTCATTAGTATTCTAGGGAACGTGAAATTTTGCAAAGAGCATAGGATTTGGAATAATGAGCACTGGGTTCAAATGCAGGCTGTATTACTTCCTAACTGTACTATCCCCTTCCCATGTCCACTTTGTCCTCTCTTTGAGATTGTTTCCTGATCTATGATACCCATCTAACAAAGTTATTATGAAGATGAAATTAGATTACATGTGCAAAATCCTATTTTTGTGCCTTTCAAGTAGTTTGCACTTCATAAATGTTGTTCCTCCCCTCCTATAAATGTGACATAAAAGCTAGCAAATTCAATAGGCTCATTCTAGACTTGCTCCTTTTTTTTTTTTTTTTTTTGAGATAGGGTCTCACTCCCATCACCCAGGTGGGAGTGCAGTGGCACAATCACTGCTCATTGTAGCCTCTACCTCCTGGGTTCAAGCCATCCTTCTGCCTGCCTCATTCTTTGATTTTTTTTGTAGCGATGAGGTCTCACTACATTACTCAAGCTCATCTTGAACTCCTGGGCTCAAGCAATCCTCCTGCCTCGGCCTCCCAAAGTGCTGGAATTACAGGCGTGAGTCACTGCACCTGGCCTTAATTGCTTCTTCCAGGATCTTAGCTGCCTGAAGTAGTTGAGGTTTAAATGACCCCTGATCATTGTGAGAGTCAGGCTTCATCAACAAATAATGTCTTTTTGCAGCCATCATCATCACGGTAGTTCCATGGTTCTGATTTGGGAGATGCCTTTATTTAGTGTGTCTGCCCCTTCTTCCTCACAATGAATTAGCTTATTTCTCTGCCTCCATAGACGTCATTGTCCCTGAGAATGGAGAACCAGTAGGCACCAGAGAGATCAAATGCTGTATCCGACAGATCCAGGAACTCATCATCTCCCGACTTAATCAGGCAGTGGCTAATAAGCTGATCAGCTCAGTGGATTACCTGAGGGAGAGCTTTGTTGGAACCCTGGAACGATGTCTGCAGAGCCTGGAGAAGTCTCAGGATGTCTCAGTTCACATCACCAGTAATTATCTCAAACAGGTACACAAAGAATGGTTTTTAAGACATCGTGTCATGGATAACACGTGAAACAATCTGCACAAGCCAACGCTTCAAATTAGGCAAGAATTTCCCCTTCAGCTTCTCACGAATCTTGTTTAAATTTATTTTGTTTTCCTGTCACATGACCACTGCCTGTGGGAGATGTTGGTGAGCTGTAAAATTGCAGTTAAGTTGATAATTATAAAGATGAGGTAGAAGGGCCTAAAAGTCACAAAATAGATAATCAGCTTAAGTTGACTCTGCATATATATTGAGGGATAAGTTGAGTCTGGACTGTGTTCTTGAAATAAATATGATTTATTGCATTTTTGAAATAGCCACACTACTGAGGGCATGTTTTCCTTGGCGTTGTCTCTTTCAGATCTTAAATGCTGCCTATCATGTTGAAGTCACATTTCACTCAGGGTCATCTGTTACAAGGATGCTGTGGGAGCAAATCAAGCAGGTAGGGATCACTTAGAGAAAGGTTTCTAAGCCCCTAGTTGGCTCAAATGAATCCTAGTGACCCCCAATAGGGAACAGATATCTAGGATCTTCTGTTAAGGCAAGGAGGCCATTTGTTCTGGTTTGCCTCCCTGGGAGAATTCTGGTTTATGCCTAGTCTCAAATAATTATTAACAGTGTCCCCTTTAACTCCCAAAAGTTTTGGGTTTAAATGATTTTTATGTTGGGTACTCTTTGTGAACAATGAAGAAAAAAAAAAAAAAAGGTATTTCATGGAGCCGTAAGACTCTATCTACCTCACTAGCCTCTTCATATTTCTTTTTCCCAGCCCAGATCTTTTCTCAGAACCAGGTTTTGTTGTTTCCAGAGGCTGTGAATGTGGTTTCTGTTCTGGAATTTGATCTGGCTCTTATGTAGAGTTATTTACTGACTTCAGAAAGATGATTAGGCACTCTCTGCCACTGAATGTAATATATTAAGTGTTTGTGAGCACGTAGACTAGGCCTGGTGTTCTTTGATGCTTTCCTCTGGGTTAGGACCTGATATTGAGGTAGATGGAATTGCAAAGGAACCTTGGGCTTTGTATGGCTCCCATCTTATGAGCCGGATCCTAATGAATGGGTAACCCAGAAAAGGAAGGGCACTGGGTCTTTGTAGTGGTTCTTATCTCTCATGCTTCAGTGATCTCGCCGTCTTCATCCTGGCAGATCATCCAGCGTATCACATGGGTGAGCCCACCTGCCATCACTCTGGAATGGAAAAGGAAGGTGGCCCAGGAAGCCATCGAGAGCCTCAGCGCCTCCAAATTGGCCAAGAGCATTTGCAGCCAATTCCGGACTCGGCTTAACAGTTCCCACGAGGCTTTTGCAGCCTCCTTGCGGCAGGTTGGTATGTAGGAGAGGAGCATCAAGCAGATGAAGAGCCTCATCCAGATGGGAGTAGTTTGCCGTCTGCTCTTCGTATGAGTTTCCAACTTCCATATTATTTCGTAATTGTTTGACATCCGATTGTCCACTGGTGGGGAATGGGTATGTCCAGGTAGAGAGTGGATAGATGTGGTTATGTATCCAGGAGGGAAAGTTATTTACTGAGAGTCCACTCTGTGCCAGTCTCTGTGCTAAACATGTTACATATATCTTATTTAATTCTCAAAATTATCTCTATGAGGTAGATATTGTTATCCCTGTATAACAGGTGAGGAAGCTGAAGCTAATGACCTAATATGTCCTTCTTCTGTTTCCCTCCCAGCTAGAAGCTGGCCACTCAGGCCGGTTAGAGAAAACTGAAGATCTATGGCTGAAGGTTCGGAAAGATCATGCCCCCCGCCTGGCCCGCCTTTCTCTGGAAAGCCGTTCTTTACAGGATGTCTTGCTTCATCGTGAGTCTGGTTTTCTTATAAATCAATTGGAGGATGGGTCAGGATACCTGACATTCTTATGTCCAACCTCAGAGAATCCCAGTGTCTAAAGCTTCCTGTTTGTAAAGCTGCCTAAACTTTTACTGATGTTTTTGAATTCCTAAAGTCTGCTCCTGCTATTAATATAGTTTAAATAACATGACCAGGCCAGGTGTGGTGGCCCACACCTGTAATCCTAGCACTTTGGGAGGCTGAGGCGGATGGACTGCCTGAGCTCAGAAGTTCAAGACCAGCCTGGGCAATATGGTGAGACCCCATATCTACTCAAATGCAAAATTAGCTGGGCATGGTGGCACTTGCCTATAACTCCAGCTACTCAGGAGGCTGAGGCAGAAGAATCACTTGAACCCAGAAGGTGGAGCTTGCGGTAAGCCGAGATCACACCACTGCACTCCAGCCTGGGTGACAGACCAAGACTCTGTCTCAAAAAAAAACACAAAAAACCAAAAAACCATATAACCAAAGTTTATTCGAATTAAACCATTTAGATTACTTTCTATTGGTTTAGAATGACACCAGAATTTTATCCCTGGCATGATTATAACTTCCTGGCCTAAAAACAGGTTCACAATGAAGAATCTTACAGGACTGGCACATGCCTGTAGTCACAGCACTTTGGGAGACCATGGTGTGTGGATTGCTTGAGCCCAGGAGTTTGGGACCACCCTGGGCAACATGGCAAAACGCCATCTCTACCAAAACTACAAAAGTTAGCCAGACGTGATGGCACATGCCTATATTCCCAGCTAGTTGGGAGCCTAAGGCAGAAGAATCTCTTGAACCTAGGAGGCAGAGGTTGCAGCGAGCCGAGATCATCCCACTGCACTCTTGCTTGGGTGACAGAGCGAGACTCTGTCTCATTAAAAAAACCAAAATCTTACAGAGGTTGCCCGCGAAGTTCCTACCCCTCCTGCCTTATCTCTGTCTCTGTACCTTATAGGTAAACCTAAACTGGGACAGGAACTGGGCCGGGGCCAGTATGGTGTGGTGTACCTGTGCGACAACTGGGGAGGACACTTCCCTTGTGCCCTCAAATCAGTTGTCCCTCCAGATGAGAAGCACTGGAATGATCTGGCTTTGGAGTTTCACTACATGAGGTGAGTCCTGGTCTCACTCATCTCTATGGGAAAGATCCAGAGAAGAATCTAAAAGCCTGGTTTAGATTTTGTACCAAGAGCTACAGCATGACCCGTCTCTCTGTATTTAGGTTTCAAAATGGTATGGACTAGTGTTTCTGTGTCTAACTCACACATGTGCTCCTTTTAAGGCCTTCACTGCCTTTGCCTGCTCTTTCTCCACCATCCTATTTTCTCAGACGTAGCATTCCATTTAACTTTCTTCTTTCGTCTTTAAGCCTTATCAGTTTTTAGAATCCAGGATTCTTCATCCTTGTTGATGAAGCCATGCTCGGCCCTCTGTCTGCACTGAGGGCTGTTACCTCTGGGCCTGTCTCCTGCATTCTGTCATGGCATGCAGGATTAGAGCCCTAGCCTGGTAGCCCAGACCTCTTTCCTTCCCACTAGGTCTCTGCCGAAGCATGAGCGATTGGTGGATCTCCATGGCTCAGTCATCGACTACAACTATGGTGGTGGCTCCAGCATTGCTGTGCTTCTCATTATGGAGCGGCTCCACCGGGACCTCTACACAGGGCTAAAGGTAAGGAGAGAGCAAGATCCAGCTGGTAGCCAAATCCACGGGTTCGCTTCTGGCTTCTCATCCTCTCCTGTTTATTCAGAGCTTTTAGCTTTCATCAGAGATTGTTGGAGTAATTAGGCTTTATTTCACTTATTTCCAAAAACCCTTAAAGATTTCTCAGCTGGGCATGGTGGCTCACCCCTGTAATCCCAGCACCTTGGGAGGCCAAGGTGGGAGTATCACCTGAGTCCAGGAGTTTGAGACCAGCCTGGGCAATATAGGGAGACCCTCTCTCTACAAAAAATTTAAAAGAGGCCAGGTATGGTGGCTCATACCTGTAATCACAGCACTTTGGGAGGCCAAGGTGGGCAGATCACCTGAGGTCGGGAGTTCAAGCCCTGCCTGACCAACACGGAGAAACGCCATTTCTACTAAAAAATACAAAATTAGCCAGGTATGGTGGCGCATGTCTGTAATTCCAGCTACTCGGGAGGCTGAGGCAGGAGAATTGCTTGAACCCAGTGGGGAGAGGTTTCAGTGAGCCGAGCTCAAGCCATTGCACTCCAGCCTGGGCAACAAGAGTGAAACTTTGTCTCAAAAAAAAAAAAAAAGTTTAAAAGTTAGCTGAGTGTAGAGGCTCATACCTGTAGTCCCAGCTACTCAAGGGGGCTGAGGTGAGAGGATCTCTTGAGCTTAGGAGGCCGAGACAGCAGTGAGCTCTGATCATGCCACTACAGCCTAGCCTGGGTGACAAAGTAAGACCCCATCTCTAAAAATAAAAATAAAAAAAATTTTAAAGATTCCCCAGAACCTGTTTTCACCTCATTATATACCCAGAATACCATCATTCACCACTTGGACCCCTGCGGTGGTAGTAAAAATCTAAACTCCTTCGAAGAGCAGTATAGCTTCCTGTAACTCTGCTCTTCTTTCTCATTTTTGCTCTAAGAGGATAAAGCTAGTTTTTGTTGTTTAGTCAACGGATATTTATTAGTGACTGCTGTGTACAAGGTCCTTCATTAAGCACCATTAGAGATTATTAGAAGGTATAATTGACAGGCACTATTAAGAGAATTGTAGTCAGTGACCATTTCAGGAAGATGTGGAGTTTGAGTTTAACAAAAATACTATGATGGGTAGAATTTGGGCAATTGGAAGAAAGAGGCCATAGCAGGGGGAAGGAACAGCCTAATGCCTAGAACATTTGAAGGCTGGTAAGGACACTGGGCACACTGGAGCAGCTGGTTCATTTTGGGAATCAGGAGACATAATATGCAAAGAGACGTTGGGAATAAATTATACAAGACCCAAAATGTTAAGAATTTCCATAGAACTCAAATTCTGTTATAGACAATGAGAAGCTACTGAAGGATTTTATTTGAGTGAAGGTGAAACCCTCAGTTGAATGTTGAGTTTCCCTTATTTGAAACCACCACCAAGAGTGAATTAGAGAGGTTTCTTTTGTCTGTTCCCTACATAGGAGCTGAGTAGAAGGAGAGAAAAGCTGACCTCAGAGTTCTGGGTAGATCCCTTCTCACAGATTCCTCCTGGACCAGGTCGTATGGAGGCTTCTGGAAGTAGGGCAGAGGAAACCTTAGAGATGGTTGCCAGTCGTGAGGAATCAATATGATGAAGAAAATGACTCTCCAAGCAGCTTTCTCTCTTCATTTCAGAGGAATTAAACATTGTCTGATGCATTTCCACAAGTGAGCTAGAGAACATCCTTTGAGCTTTTGAATGAGTGATGTGACATTTTCCAGTATTCAGGAGACCCTGAATTGAGGTAATCTGAGTGATTTTGGTATTTGAATCCACAAAACGAAACCTGGGCTAACCAGGCCTGTAAGGCAGTGGGAGTAAATCTTCCTGAGGAACCTAGAAATAGTCACTTTTTTTTTTTTTTGAGACGGAGTTTCGCTCTTGTTACCCAGGCTGGAGTGCAGTGGCGTGATCTCGGCTCACCGCAACCTCCGCCTCCTGGATTCAAGCAATTCTCCTGCCTCAGCCTCCCGAGTAGCTGGGACTACAGGCGCATGCCACCATGCCCAGCTAATTTTTGTATTTTTTAGTAGAGACGGGGTTTCACCTTGTTGACCAGGATGGTCTCGATCTCTTGACCTCGTAATCCACCCGCCTCGGCCTCCCAAAGTGCTGGGATTATAGGCGTGAGCCACCGCACCTGGCCAGAAATAGTCACTTTGAGTCTTAAGGGCAGTTCCAGAATTTCTTCAAATGTTAGAAAGGAGCTCATGCCTTAGTTGTTTGATTCTGTCTGTTCATCACATTTGAGGTTATCCATTTGGCCTAACTGCAGCCTGTAAGGGATTTTATCTGGCTTTGTCTCCTTTACAGCTTGCACTTCCTTGCTTTTCCTCTACTTCCCTCGCCTAACTGATTTTTTTCTCCCCTCACCTTTTATTCGAGACAGAGTCTTGCTCTGTCACCCAGGTTGGAGTTCAGTGGCACCATCTCAGCTTACTGCAACCTCTGCCTCCTGGGTTCAAGTGATTATCCTGCCTCAGCCTCCCAAGTAGCTGGGATTACAGGCATCTACCACCATGCCTCGGGAATTTTTTGTTTGTTTGTTTTTTTAGTAGAGATGGGATTTCACCATGTTGTCTGGGATGGTCTCGAAATTCCTGACCTCAAGCGATCTGTCCGCCTTGGCCTCCCAAAGTGCTGGGTTACAGGCATAAGCCACTGTGCCAGCTCTTCCCCTTTTTAAAAATTCACTTTTCTGTCCTCCTGTGCTCTAGCACAGTCAGTCTTTTAGTTCCCCACAGAAAGAAGTCTCAGTTGGTTCAAGTAAGTTGAATTGAGGAGTTGCCTTATCATGACAAGTAAGGTCTTTTGTCTCTCCAAGGCTGGGCTGACCCTGGAGACACGGTTGCAGATAGCACTAGATGTGGTGGAGGGAATCCGCTTCCTGCACAGCCAGGGACTTGTCCATCGTGATATCAAACTGAAAAATGTGCTGGTAAGTAAGAGCTGTTTCCCCAAGATTATACCCTACCTCTGTGGCTGAGTGATTTTGGAGGGTACACATAAATGTAAGTTTGGTCCTAAGAAAAGTCCACACAGAAAGTGTACTAGTCCATTCTCATGCTGCTAATAAAGATACACCCAAGCCTGGGTAATTTATAAAAGAAAGAGGTTTAATTGACTCATAGTTCCACAGGGCTGGAGAGGCCTCAGGAAACTTACAATTATGGCAGAAGGGGAAGCAAATACATTCTTCTTCACATGGCAGCAGCAAGGAGAAGTACCAAACAAAAGTGGGTAAAGCCCCTTAACAAAACCATCAGATCTTGTGAGAACTCACTATCATGAGAACAGCATGAAGATTAAATTACCTCCCACTGGGTCCCTCCCATGACACATGGGTATTATGGGAACTGCAATTCAAGATGAGATTTGGGTGGGGACATAGCCAAACCTTATTATTCTGCCCCTGACCCCTCCCAGATTTCATGTCCTCACATTTCTTTTCTTTTCTTTTTTTTGAGACGGAGTTTCACTCTTGTTGCCCAGGCTGGAGTGTAATGACATGATCGCAGCTCACCACAACCTCTGCCTCCTGGATTCAAGCGATTCTCCTGCCTCAGCCTCCTGAGTAGCTGGGATTACAGGCATGCACCACCACACTTGGCTCTTTTTTTTTTTTTTTTTTTGGTATTTTTAGTAAATACAGCATTTCTCCATGTTGGTCCGGCTGGTCTTGAACTCCTGACCTCAGGTGATCCACCCGCCTTGGCCTCCCAAAGTGCTGAGATTACAGGCATGACCATGCCTGGCCATGTCCTCACATTTCAAAACAAAATCATGCGTTCCCAACAGTTCTCCAAAGTCTTAACTCATTCTAGCATTAACTCAAAAGTCCAAGTCCAAAGTCTCATCTGAGACAAGGCAAGTCCCTTCTGTCTGTGAGCCTGTACAATCAAAAGCAAGTTAGTTACTTCCTACATACAATGAGGGTACAGGCATTGGGCAAATATACCCATTCCAAAGGGAAGAAATTGGCCAAAACAAAGGTGCTATAGGCCCATGCAAGTCTGAAATCCAATAGGGCAATCATTAAACCTTAAAGTTCCAAAATGATCTCCTTTGACTCCATGTCTCACATCCAGGGCACACTGATGCAAGAGGTGGGCTCCCATAGTCTTAGGCATCTCCACCCCTGTGGATTTGCAGGGTACAGCCCACTTCCTGGCTGCTTCCATGGACTGGCATTGAGTGTCTTTGGCTTTTCTAGGCACACGGTGCAAGTTGTGGGTGGATCTACCAGTCTGGGTGCTGGAGGACAGTGGCCTTCTTCTCACAGCTCCACTAGGCAGTGTCCCAGTGGGAACTTTCTGTGGGGTCTCCAACCCCACATTTCCCTTCCGTACTACCCTAGCAGAGGTTCTTCCTGAGGGCTCCACCCCTGCAGCAAACTTCCGTCTGGATAGCCAAGCATTTCCATACATCCTCTGAAATCTAGGTGGAGGTTCACAAACCTCAGTTGTTGATTTCTATGCACCCGCAGGCCCAAAACCACCTATAAGTTGCCAGGACTTGGGGCTTGCACCCTCTGAAGCAATGGCCTGAGCTATATATTGGCCCCTTTTAGCCACAGTTGGAACTGAAGCAGCTGGGATGCAGGACACCATGTCCCGAGGCTACATTGGAGTAGGGGGGCCCTGGGCCCAGCCCACAGAACCATTTTTCCCTTCTAGACCTCTAGGCCTGCCATAGGAGGGGCTGCTGTGAAGGTCTCTGATATGCCCTGGAGACATTTTCCCCATTGTCTTGGTGGTTAACATTCAGCTTCTCGTTACTTACGCAAATTTCTGCAGTGAGCTTGAATTTCTCCCCAGAAAATAGCTTTTCTTTTTTTCTTTTTGAGATAGAGTCTCACTTTATTTCCCATGCTGGAGTGCAATGGCGCAATCTTGGCTCACTGTAACCTCCACCTCTCTGGTTTAAGCAATTCTCCATTCGCTTCCCAAGTAGCTGGGATTACAGGTGCCTGCCACCATGCCCGGCTAACTTTTGTATTTTTAGTAGAGATGGGGTTTCGCCATGTTGGCCAGGCTGGTCTCGAACTCCTGACCTCAGGTGATCAACCCACCTCAGCCTCCCAAAGTGCTGGGATTACAGGAGTGAGCCACCATGCCCAGCTAGAAAATAGATTTTCTTTTCTATCACATTGTCAGGCTGCAAATATTCCAAACTCTAGTGCTCTGCTTGAACACTTTGCTCCTTAGAAATTTCTTCCACCAGATATCCTAAGTCATCTCTCTCAAGTTCAAAGTTCCACAAATCTCTACGGCAGGGGCAGAATGCCTCCAGTCTATTTGTATAGCCAGAGTGACCTTTACTCCGGTTCCCAGTAAGTTCCTCATCTTCATCTGAGACCGCCTTAGCCTGGACGTCATTGTCCATCTCACTATCAGCATTTTGGTCAAAGCCATTCAACTCAACAAAGTTTGAAACTCTAGGAAGTTTCAAACTTTCCCACATTTTCCTGTCTTCTTCTAAGCCCTCAAAACTGTTCCAGCCTCTGCCTGTTACCCAGTTCCAAAGTCGCTTCCACAATTTCAGGTATCCTTACAGCAAGCAGCAGGCCACTCTTGGTACCAATTTATTGTATTAGTCCATTCTCACGTTGCTAATAAAGACATACCTGAGACTGGGCAACTTATAAAGGAAAGAAGGTTAATTGACTCACAGTTCCACAGGGCTCGAGAGGCCTCGGGAAGCTTACAATCATGGTGGAAAGGGAAGTGATCATTAAGTTGTTTCTGGCAATACTTAAATGATGTATAAAGATGGCAGCAATTTAGGGGAAGGGAAAGATCTCCCTAAAATTGACAGCTGAAACCTAACAGGCTAATCAGTAGCCAAATTAGACAGACTTACTCTCTTCAACCTAGGAAAGGAAACTATAGGGACTTTAGGAAACTCTCCTCAGCTGACTGGAGGACCTCAACTTTCTGCCCTGAGGCTGGGAGGAGGGGCAGGAGCTGAAGGGTTTCACTGGTGTCCTTCCATGGACCTATGCTTCCTCATTCTTCATATGTTAGCTTTATATGTACCGGGCACTGCAGTAAGCACTGGGGATACAAAGATGAAAAAGGCAGTCCCTGCCCTCATGTTGCTCACAGAGCGGGGAGGAAGACAGAACAGGTTGAATATTCCTAATCCAAAAATTAGAAATCCAAAATGCTCCTAAGTCTGAAACTTTCTGAGCAGTGACATGACCCTCAAAGGGAATGCTCACCAGAGCATTTTGGATTTTGGATTTTTAGAGGTGCTGAATCAGCAAGTATGATGCATATATTCTAAAATCTGGGGGAAAAAAAATTTGAAATTCAAAACACTTCTGGTTCCAAGCCTTTCAGATAAGGGATACTCAACCTGTAATGGAAATGAACCTGGAGACAGGAAGGTTGGTGGCAGGCTTTATAAAGTACAATCATGCATTGCATAATGACATTTTGGTCAGTGAGCCCACATATACGATGTGGTCCCTTAAGATTATAATGGGGCTGGGTGCAGTGGCTCACGCCTGTAATCCCAGCACTTTGGGAGACTGAGGCAGGTGGATCACAAGGTCAGAAGATCGAGACCATCCTGGCCAACATGGTGAAACCCCCATCTCTACTAAAAATACAAAATTTAGCCAGGGTGTGGTGGTAGGTGCCTGTAGTCCTGGCTACTCAGGAGGCTGAGGCAGAGGTTGCAGTGAGCTGAGATTGCACCACTGCACTCCAGCCTGGGAGACATAGCAAGACTCCATCTCAAAAATAACTGACATAATGTTGCAGCACAGTGAAATACTCATGTGTGGTGGTGATGGTGTGAACAAAGCTACTGGTATAAAAGTATAGCACAGGGCTGGGTGAGGTGGCTTATGCCTCTAATCTCAGCACTTTGGGAGGCTGAGGTGGGTGGATCACCTGAGGTCAGGAGTTCAAGACCAGTCTGACCAATATGGTGAAACCCCATCTCTATTTAAAAAAAAAAAAAAAAAAAAGTGTAGCACAATTATGTACAGTATATAATATTTGATAAGAAACAGCTATGTTACTGGTTTATATATTTACTGTACTTTTTTTTTTTTTTTTTTTTTTTTTTTTTTTTTTTTTTTTTGAGACGGAGTTTCACTCTTGTTATCCAGGCTGGAGTGCAATGGCGCGATCTCGGCTCACCGCAACCTCCGCCTCCTGGGTTCAGGCAATTCTCCTGCCTCAGCCTCCTGAGTAGCTGGGATTACAGGCACGTGCCACCACGCCCAGCTAATTTTTTTTGTATTTTTAGTAGAGACGGGGTTTCACCATGTTGACCAGGTTGGTCTCGATCTCTCGACCTTGTGATCCACCCGCCTCGGCCTCCCAAAGTGCTGGGATTACAGGCTTGAGCCACCGCGCCCGGCCTATTTACTGTACTTTTAATCTTTTTATACTTGTTAGATACTTTAAAATAACAATAAAAGGTATAGTATGGTAAATATATAAACCAGTAAGGACAGTCTCGGGCAGGACCTCAGGACGAATTCCAGAAGAAGGTGTTGCTATCATAGGAAGTGACAGCTCCATGTGTGTTGTTGTCCCTGAAGACCTTCCAGTGGGACAGGATGCAGAGGTGGAAGACAGTGATATGGATGATCCTGACCCCATGCAGGCCTAGGCTAATAAGTCCATGTTTCAGTTCTTAACAAAAGAGTTTTAAAAGTTAAAAAAAAAAAAAAAAAAAATTAAAAATAGGGAAAAAAAAAAAAAAGCCTATAACCAGCCTGGAAAACAGAGAAAGACCCCATCTCTACTAAAAATCAAAAAATTAGACAGGCATGATGGCACACAACTGTATTCTTAGCTGCTTAGGAAGCCAAGGTGTGAAGATCCATTGAGCCCAAAAATTCAAGGCTGCCTTGAGCTATGATTGTGTCACTGCACTCCAGCCTGGAAGGCAGAGCACAACCCTGTCTCTTAAAAAAAAAAGAAGGAAAAGCTTACAGAATAAGGATATAAAGATATAAATACAATATTTTTGTACAGCTATACAGTGTGTGTTATAAGCTAAGTGTTTATTATAAAAGGGTCAAACAAAAAGCTTAAAAAATAAAGTTAATAAAGTAAAATTACAGTAAGTGGAGGTTGGTTTTTTTTTAATTGTATGCAGTTACGGTTTAATACAGCATCTTCATATTTGTTTACATTTCTCTTGACTGCAAATGGTGCCATGTATGGTTTGTGTGCATACATTTTGATGAATTTTAACTTTTTTTTCTTTTAATTGCATTTTATGTTTTGGGGTACATGTGAAGAACATGCAAGATTATTGCATAGGTACACACATGGCAGTGTGATTTGCTGCCTGAGGTTGATTTATTATTGAAGAAAAACTTTTGGCCGGGTGCAGTGACTGTAATCCCAGCACTTGGGAGGCAGAGGCGGGTGGATCACAGGGTCAAGAGATCAAGATCATCCTGGCCAACATAGTGAAACTTGTCTCTACTAAAAATACAAAAATTAGCTGGGTGTGGTGGTGCACATCTGTAGTCCCAACTCCTTAGGAGACTGAGGCAGAAGAATCGCTCAAACCCGGGAGGCGGAGGTTGTAATGAGCTGAGATCACACCACTGTACTCCAGCCTGGCAACAGAGCAAGACTCTATTTTTAAAAAAAATAAGAGCCGGGCGCGGTGGCTCAAGCCTGTAATCCCAGCACTTTGGGAGGCCGAGGCGGGTGGATCACGAGGTCGAGAGATCAAGACCATCCTGGTCAACATGGTGAAACCCCGTCTCTACTAAAAATACAAAAAATTAGCTGGGCGTGGTGGCGCGTGCCTGTAATCCCAGCTACTCAGGAGGCTGAGGCAGGAGAATTGCCTGAACCCAGGAGGTGGAGGTTGCGGTGAGCCGAGATTGCGCCATTGCACTCCAGCCTGGGTAACAAGAGTGAAACTCCGTCTCAAAAAAAGAAAAATACTTTAAAAAATAAATTAAGTGTAGTCTAAGTGTACAGTGTTTATAAAGCCTGTAGTAATGTCGTAGGCCTTCGCACTTACCTCTCACTCACTGACTCACCCAGAGCAGTTTCCACTTCTGGGAGCTCCATTCATTGTAAATGCCCTCTACAGGCATACCGTTTTTTATCTTTTATATCGTATCCTTACTGTACCTTTTCTATGTTTAAGTATGTTTAGATACACAAATACCACTGTTACTGTTGCCTGTGGTATTCAGTACAGTAACACTCTGTACAGGTTTGTAGTCTAGTAGCAAAAAACCATACTATTAATATATCGCCTAGGATTATAGCAGGTATACCACCTAGGGTTGTGTAAACATAGTCTGGTGTTTGCACAAGGATGAAATCACCTGACAACTCATTTTTCAGATCATAATCCTACTTTGAGGTACCTACCTTTGAGCTTGGGTATGCAGCAGTGCTGTGTGCAGATCAAAAACAAGGTGACTCTTGTCCTGCTTTGTTGGCAGCTGGACAAGCAGAACCGTGCCAAGATCACTGACTTAGGATTCTGCAAGCCAGAGGCCATGATGTCAGGCAGCATTGTGGGGACACCGATCCATATGGCCCCTGAACTTTTCACAGGTAAGGCTGGAGGGCAGGCAGTGGGTCTGGGCAGGGCATATTACTTTCATCCTGAGTGCCACCCCTTGAGCTAGTTTTCACAATCACTACTGGCAGGTCTAGTACAGGCAAGGGAGAAACTAGATCAGGGAGACCTACGTAAGGCTAGTAGAGGGGAAAGTGAAGAGGTAAAGGAATAAGAAAGAAAAAGTGCAAATGGGAGTCATCATTTGGACATCCCTCTGGGTTGTTACTGCCACAATCAACCAATTATCTAAGCATAAAGTATTGACTGAATAACTCCTGTGTCATAGCAGTTGCCCTCTATCATTAAAGAGCTTATAGTTGACATAGAGATATATTGAAAGGTAAAATAGGAAGCAGTACAACACAAGGTGTGATTAGGTGCCAAATTAACTGCTATATAATGTGCTGTTGGTGTTTAGAGAAGGAATACATGAAGGTGGAAATGTTTGGTGGTTTTGTGATGGAGGTGAGATTTTTGAGTAGAATTTGAGTCAGATCTAGGAAACTAGTAGGTGGGAAGGGAACCTATTAAGTATATACCTTGAGCTAGGCAGTATGGGTAGGTTTTTCATCTATTTTGTTTAGTTCTGTGATAATGATGGATTTTTATGTCCATTTAATGGATAAAGTTGAGACCAGATTGATGATGAAACGTACTCCCAAAAACATAGAGCTAAAATGTAATGGAGCTGTGATTTAAGTCTAAGATGTTCTGTCACCATAGTACAACCCTGTAGCATGAAGGAGAGAAAATTATCTAGAGGCTAAAGAAGGAGTAATAATGAGGAAAATCACAGAATAGAAATAAGCATGACATGAAAGAAATCCATTGGGGAATAGTAGCAAACAAGGTTGAAGATAAAAATATATTGAGCTTGAAATTCCCACAAAAGAATCAAGGCTTGTTGTGCAAGACTTAAGGCACTACTGAGCTTTGGAGTAGGGGAGAAAGGAAAACGTTTGTGAAGATGAGCTTAGTAACAGTAGGTAAAGATGATGTGACTGGGAAGAACCAAGGTTAGACCAGATAGCTGGTCTTCTACGGTTGCATCCAGGATTAAGCTGGTATTAATGCTGAAACAAACAAATGTGAGATACTTGAGATTAATTCAGAGGAAGAATGGGCAAGAGTTTGGTGCTAACTTGATATGGTTAATGAACAGAAAAGAATGACCAAAAGATGACTCCAAGGTTTTGAGCCCAAGTGATGGGAATGATTGTTCCATTGCCAGGGAAGAGAAGAAGGTAATCTTTGGTCAGTTATTAGTATTGGTAAGAGTTAAAATTAGTGATATATTTAAATTTATTTCATTTCATGTACCAGTCTTCCCCTAGTCCTTCACTGGGTGATACATGTAAGGATTAGGTGGTAGCGAGTCAGCTGTAGTCATGCGCTACGTCTGACCCAAGTAGACTGTCTTCATTTTTCTTTCTCTAGATTTACTTTTTTTTTTTTTGGAGACGGAGTTTCGCTCTTGTTACCCAGGCTGGAGTGCAATGGCACGATCTCAGCTCACCGCAACCTCCGCCTCCTGGGTTCAGGCAATTCTCCTGCCTCAGCCTCCTGAGTAGCTGGGATTAAAGGCACGCGCCACCATGCCCAGCTAATTTTTTGTATTTTTAGTAGAGACGGAGTTTCACCATGTTGACCAGGATGGTCTCGATCTCTTGACCTCGTGATCCACCCGCCTCGGCCTCCCAAAGTGCTGGGATTACAGGCGTGAGCCACCGCGCCCGGCCCTTTTTAAAAAAAACTTTCTAATCCCACTGCTATGATTCTATTTTGGCTACTTCATACTTAAATTCCTTTTATTGTTTCTATTGCAGTCCACCCTATTGTCAGAATCATCTTTCTAAAATATTGTATTCTTCATGTCACCTCCTACTCTAAAACATAAATGACTTCCTGCTGCTCACTGAATCCAGACTCTTCTGTCTGACTTTAAAAATAATCATATTCTGGTTCCAACATACCTACCCACCTATATTCCCAACTTTATTTTCCTAATATGACCTTTTGGGATTAATCTTTTTGACTGTCCTAGCAGAATGAAAGGCCTTATTTTCCTTCTCCTTTGTCAAGTTCTAGGCTTGGCTCTCTAAGTATTGCGCTGTGGCCTCCCAATGTCTTAGTTGATTGTATTATGCAATGGGCGTTATAATGTGGCCTGCCTACCTGGCGCGGTTGTTACTGAGAGAAAACAGATGTTAAAAGCTTTGGAGAAAGCTAACCCTCTGCGGAGGCAAGGCGGTGTGGATGCTGCTGCCTGCCTTTCCGTGGCTCATTATGTTTCATGCTTTCTTGCCATCAGGGAAGTACGATAATTCCGTGGATGTCTACGCTTTTGGAATTCTTTTCTGGTATATCTGCTCAGGCTCTGTCAAGCTCCCTGAGGCATTTGAGAGGTGTGCTAGCAAAGACCATCTCTGGAACAATGTGCGGAGGGGTAAGAGCCACAAGTACTGCCCTGTCCTAACTCCCCTGGCTAGGCCAGATTGAGCCCAGAGCCTCCTGTCATCCTTCCTGGCCACTCCACAGCAGGGCCATAGACGCATTTAAACTGTCATGAATCCAAAAAAGATATCAACCTTTGCATCCAGGCACCTCTCTATTGAACTATCTCAAAAAGTCTTTTGTAAAAAAAATTTCTGATTCTTCAACTTCATATGCCAATGTGTTCCAGTTTTTCTTCTTCCTTTTTTTTTTTTTTTTTTTTGACTCGCCCTTACTGTTAGGTTCTAACCTAGATGTTTGCAATTGAAGCCAAAACTCCTTGTATTCTTTAATATCCTGAGCCCGACTGGGAAGTCAGCCCAGTGAGCTGGTCATGCCTCTGTTGTGCTGGGTCACTCTCACTGTGGTCTTGTTTCCATGCTCTTTTCTCTAGGGGCTCGCCCAGAACGTCTTCCTGTGTTTGATGAGGAGTGCTGGCAGTTGATGGAAGCCTGCTGGGATGGCGACCCCTTGAAGAGGCCTCTCTTGGGCATTGTCCAGCCTATGCTCCAGGGCATCATGGACAGACTCTGCAAATCCAATTCTGAGCAGCCAAACAGAGGACTAGATGATTCTACTTGAAAGCAAAGACCTTTCTCTTTCACTTTCTCTTTCTTTCCTTCCCCCTCACCTTTTGGCCATGGGGAGAATTTGACATTTATTCACTATAGGACACACTCCCAAGGGAACTGGTGCTTGCTGGGAAACTTGAAACCTTCCCAGGCAGGGATGACTCCTGGACAGTGAAGATTTGGATGACTGAGCACATTCAGCAGCTCACTGAAGCCCCAAGCTATCCCTTTAGCAAAAAAGTATCTAAGATGTGTAAAAGCCGAGGAATGTGATGTTCTGGCCTCACAAAGGAAAAGGAGGCAGATGTTACCATGGTCTATTCACTGTCTGTGCTTCTAAGACAACAAGCGGGACACTGCAGTGGCAGTAGTGTTTCAAAAGTCTCATTCTCATGATTTGTGGCTCTAGCTAGGAATAGTTTAGTCAGGACTCAGAAAATTTGAGCTTAGTTCTGGGATTATGAAAACGTAGGGATAAAAACAATAACTTGTGGATGTCTGGATTCTGCTGCCCGCAGCCAGGGATCTCAGGTTGCCATGGTCAGAAGCCCCAGTGAGGGAGCTAGAAACAGAGCTATCTGTTCCTCATACTGCCAGTGTGTTTACATTTATAGGACCACATATCCCTGGTTTCTGGGGGAGGGTTTCACTGTTACATCACCAAGACGCCCTGAAAAGAGAGAGAGAGAAAACCAGGAGCGGTGGCTCATGCCTGTAATCCCGTCACTTTGGGAGGCTGAGGTGGGCAGATCAAGAGATCAGTAGTTCAAGGCCAGCCTGGCCAATATGGTGAAACTCCGTCTCTACTAAAGATACAAAAACTAGCCGGGCAGGGTGGTGGGTGCCTGTAGTGCCAGGTACTCAGGAGACTGAGGCAGGAGAATCGCTTGAACCTGGGAGGCAGAGGTTGCAGTGACCCAAGATCATGCCATTGCACTCCAGCCTGGGCAACAGGGTAAGACTCCGTCTCAAAAAAAAAAAGGGTGTGCCTATGTGTTTGTGTATATGTATATGCACATGTATGTGTTTATATGTCTATATATATATAGACACACACACAGAAGTTACTGGATTTGGAGTTACTGCTAACCCCAGAACAGAATCTGTCCTTTTACCTTTGGGTCTTTTTTTTTTGTTTACCTCTTTTCATCTCAAAGTGGGAAAGCTCCAGATAACATGGTACTTAGGAGTGAGTGTCTGAGTAAAACCAACCCAATGAGAAGTATTTGGGTGAGACCTGAGAGGTGGGAGATGATTGGAGGCCATGGCCTGCGTACAAACATACTGGAAGAAAACCAGCTTGTTTTCAAAACTTAACACAATCAGAAACTTTTTGTGTTTGAATCTAACACACTGACGTTTTAAAAACTTGATTAATGAGCTTTTTAACCAAGGTTTCTCCTGCAATTTGTTCCTTCTTTTTACCTTATTTTAAATATGATCTGTTAGAAGAAAAGAACCAGAAGCAAGAGAAAAGCCCTTCTCTAGTAGTTCTTTGTGCGTGCACCTCACCCCTGTGTGCCAGTGTCTGGGAAGCTTCCCTGAAAGGTGGGAGGCAGGTTGGTGGTCTTTTGGAGAGTTCCTCATGAAGTGTGCTTGAGGAGAGAAATTCTGATTCTAGGCAGAGGAAGAGGAACAATTTAAATACTGGTGCATTTCAGATGCACTTCACTTCAAGCCTTCCTCAGCCAAACTGGTTCATTAAATTCAGAAAAACAGGTAGACAAAGGAGTAGACAGTGGAAGTGAGTAGCCTCCCTCCATCTGCCTAATCCCTAATAACTGTGGTCTGGCCCCTACGTCCAGTCGCAGAGTTTGTAAAACAGGTCCCTGGGTGGGTATATAGGATGAGTTGCAAATTAGCCAGGCATGATGGCACATGCCTGTAGTCCCAGCTACTTGGGAATCTGAGGCAGGAGAATCACTTGAACCTGGGAGGTGGAGATTGTAGTGAGCCGAGATCACGCCACTGCACTCTAGGATTGTCTGTGACAGAATGACCATCTTTTAAATATTAATGGAGTATAAATGGGATCTTTCATAGAACTTTTAACTCTTTGGCTATCCTGGGCTTGGATCATATGTTTGAGCATAGTAGCTCCCTAAGCTCTTGCAGCCTTTCAGAAACCCCAGGTAGTGCTAATAACCTTTTTACCTGCAAATGATAAAGTAACTGGCCTAGTGTCTTTGGGCTCTATAGGCTTTAGCCTTGTTTTGGTAGGATGTTCAGTATATTCTTAGAATTCTGACCACCTATTTAGCGATACTTAAAGCACTCTATTCTCAGCACTAACTCGCTGTCCTTCTGGGAATGATGGTGGGGCTTCCAGGAAGTCAGGTGTCAAGAAAGGAGGGGTAAGTACTCTCCACTTGCTGGAAAATCATTGTAAGTCTGTTGTGTATGAAATTTTAGGAAAAGTCTTATATAGTTCCCTTTCCAGACTGTCTTCTTTTGACTCAAGCTAAGTCTGTGCTTCCATTCTGAAAGTCACATTCCTAGCATTCTTTGGAAGTCTTAGCTCATACTCCCATTCACATATGGGAGGTTAGATGTGTTTTCCCTTACCCGGTGTCCCTTTTCAGTTTACCCCATGGCTTAGTCTGCTATCAGATACCAGTTCTCTAGCAGATTCTCCAATAGTTTTTTTCCCCAATGGGGAGGGTGGAAGGGAGGGACTCATGTAAATAAGGAGATGAGTAGTTGTGTTACAGTTCATTTTCTTATTAAAAAAAAGTATTTTGAGAAGAGGTGCAAAATATTCTTGAAAGTCCCTAGGCCAGCCAAAGTCTACATATGGATGTTTGGGGATGTTATTTAAATACTCAGCAGGCTGAGTGCAGGTATGCGTGTGTATAGCGTGTGAATACTTTGCTTTTGTTTTGTCAGCTAATCTTGGCTTCTTTGTTCCTTGGCATCCATTCTTATGAGTGATGGGATGCCATGAAATGTACTGTATTGTTATTACTTGGGCAGACACTAGGTTTTCAAAGAAGTCTGGCAGCACTTGGGCTATAGAGGGCTCGGCATGACCAAAGTCAAAGGTTTTACCTCCCACCTTTGGCTGTACATGTTCCCAAGTGGTGAGGTGAGACTGTGGCTGGAGGAGGAGAAAGGATGGCATGAAAGAATGACCCTTACTGTGTTCTGTCCTTCTAATCAACATAATTAGGGCAGTTTACCCCAGCTTGAAAATGATGACCTGGCCATATTTAATGGCCACAGCTTGAAGTCTGGTCACTCATTTCACTACAGAACTGAGTGAGGGGCCTTCCTGCAGAGCAGTCAGGAGAAATCATGGAGCCTGGGGCCCTGGAATGGCTGACCCTGTGCCTTGAGAGCAGATGGCAAGGGCAGTCTGGCACGGCTCATTTGGGTGGGGTTTCCACAGGCATACCTTAATTCCTTGATCCTCTGCAAAGAGTAGCTCACTGGTTGAGCAAGCCCTTCGCAGGAGGACTGTGCTGGTTGTTCCAGACCAAAGAGAGTCACTTTTGACTCCATCTACTTCAAGGGGACAGAGCCTAGGCAGCAGCTTCTCCTAATTTTTAACACTAAAATTCAAAGAAGCAGTAGAGGAAAGAATGCATTGCTACCACAGATAGAAATAGGGGACTTGTAGAGCTTTCAGCTAGTAACCGTCAGCTCTCAAATGCATTTTTGTGTCTCTGCTTGAGCTGCCAAAGAAGGGTCACAAAGCGTTCTTCCTGATGGAAGAAGTGCCTCGGGGTTGCAGGGCTGCAAAGCGACAACTGCACTGAATGACACTTTACTTTTTGTCTTTGGCTTATTAGGTAGCACTGGGAGGCCCAGGAGAATTGGTGATTACAGTAGCACTTTGGGAATTAAGGCCTCCTTTGGCTTTGCTTTGGAGAGATGATGATATGCTTGGTTTTCCATTTGGATAATCAGGAAACCTCCCTAGTCCATCCATATTGCATCAAAGTGGGATTACAACCCTGGAAGAGTCCACTGCCAGAAGAGTAGTTGCTTTCCTTGAGTTTCCAAAGCTTTTAGATTTTCTGGATCAAGTAACCCACTTTTTAAAACCAGAGATCAGGAGTTCGAGACCAGCCTGGCCAACATGGTGAGACCCCATCTCTATTAAAAATACAAAAAATTAGCCAGGCGTGGTGGTGGGCACCTGTAGTCCCAGCTACTTGGGAAGCTGAGACAGGAGAATTGCTTGAACCCAGGAGGCGGAGGCTGCAGTGAGCCAAGATTGCACCCCTGCACTCACAGCCTGGGCAGCAGAGTAAGACTCCGTCTCAAAATAAAAATAAAAAGGAAAGGGAAAAGAAAGGTTAATCCTTCCAAATATCGGGGTAGGATGAGTAGAGCTTGTTTGATGTTGAAGTGGGTAAGGAGGGAGTGGCCTGAGACACTTGTATTACAAACTTCCCTGCAGGTTTCCAGTAGCACTACTGTTCTTAAAAAGAGTCTTGTTTTAACTTCATCTGCTTTGTTAACATCCAGTCCAATTGAGGTGATCTCAGAGGCATGTTCAGGATACCTAGCATTGGGAAGGCCACCCTGCCCAGGTGGTTGAAAAGAAAATTGGGGCCGGGCGCGGTGGCTCACGCCTGTAATCCCAGCACTTTGGGAGGCCGAGGCGGGTGGATCACGAGGTCAAGAGATCGAGACCATCCTGGTCAACATGGTGAAATCCCGTCTCTAATAAAAATACAAAAAATCAGCTGGGCATGGTGGTGCGTGCCTGTAATCCCAGCTACTCAGGAGGCTGAGGCAGGAGAATTGCCTGAACCCAGGAGGCGGAGGTTGCGGTGAGCCGAGATCGCACCATTGCACTCCAGCCTGGGTAACAAGAGCGAAACTCCGTCTCAAAAAAAAAAAAAAAAAAAGAAAAGAAAAGAAAAGAAAATTGGTCTGGACAGCCTGTTGTCTTTTGTCTTCATGTAATGTTTTTTGTTTGTTTTAAAGGACTAATGTTTATTACAGTGTTAAAAGTGTAACATACTAAGTGTGTAGAATAAAAGTGCAATAACAAAATCACTTTGGCACACACTTCAGTCTTTATCCTCTCTCCTTTCTTGTGCTACCTGGCTTTTTCCATAATATTGTTACCATGTTGTGTGCATTTTGAAGATGCGCGACTCTGGGTTAATCTTCATTAGTGTAATTTTGAAGGGTTGGGTTTGGTTTTATAGAATATTCTGTATACTTGTTGGGATACACAAATACCAGATGTGCTGTATAATAAAGATCACATTAACGTTTTAGGTTTCTGTTTGGTTTTGGTTTTCCCTTACCTCACTTCCCATAGTAACAGGACGTTCCCTAATCCATTCCATTTCCACTGTGACCTGCAGTCAGTGTCTCTCAGTTTGCCTTAGGAGAGATGGATGGAACACGTTCCTCTCCCATCAGGGGCCCTCCCCAGCCGCCATGGCTCTTTGCCTCTGGGTACTTTACATCACCACTATGGGAGGGTGGGCCAAGGGAATGGGAGATAGGATAGTGGTGAGAAGGGTGAGATGATAGCAAGGTATCTGCCAGAGCCTATCTGGGTGACACCCTTTTTTCCAGCTTCTTTTAAGCAAGAACCTGCATCATTGTAAGTTCATATACAAACCTAGCTACTCTTTATTACACTGTGAGGGAACCGGGCACAGAATCTCAATGCTGGCCTATCTGCATGCAGTGTATTTCGAATTTTCTATTTAGGCTCACCCTAGTGCTGATATTTGCTTGCTCAGCAGTGCCTGACAGGTACCACCATGGGCCACCGCCAAGAGAGAGGCACCACCTCTAGTCACCAGGGAAGGTCAACATGCAGCATGACGTGCGTTTGCTTTGGTTTGTTTTTGGTTATCATACCATGTCCGGCTTGTGTGACTGTTATTTTTTGCTATGACTATTTTTGGTTTGACTGCAACACAAGGTTGACCAGCAGATGGCAGCACGTCTTAAGTAGTTGGTATGTACCTGCTCCTTCAGGTTGATCTCAATGGTTCCCAGCCCACACCCACACAGTAGTCATTTATTTAATACAAGTGAGGCAGGTTAGTGCAGTTGGTTAGAGAGTAACGCTAATAATGCCAATAAACCTTTTTTATTTTTATTTTGGAGATGGTGTCTTGCTTTTGCTGTTGCCCAGGCTGGAGTGCAGTGGCACAAACATGGCTCATGGTAGCCTTGACCTCCTGGGCTCAAGCAATCTTCTCCCTCAGCCTCCTGAGTACCCAGACCACAGATACATGCCATCATGCCTGGCTGTTTTTGTTTGTTTTAAGAGCTGGGGTCTGGCCATGTTGCCCAGGCTGGTCTCAAACTCCTGGGCTCCAGCAATTCTCCTGCCTCAGCCTCCCAAAGGGCTGGGATTACAGGTGTAAGCCATGCACCCAGCCCAAATAAGCCTCTTAGCACTTGTGAAGCTCCCTACTAACTCCAGCCACCCTTCACAGTTAAACACATCCCATCTTATATGCCTATGCCCTGTATTTTCTTAGGCAGTTCAGCGTGACTGAGTCCTCTTCACCTTTTCCCTTTCCCTTATTACTTTGGAAAAAATAGCTTGTGGTATACACATTTTCAGATTGGGCATGCTTTTTCAAGAACACATCCCTCAGTAGACATGTGCCCTAAATAGGGCAACTTGGCTGGCCTTCTTGATCCTATATTTGGGTGGGGTTCAAGCTTCTGAACATTATTGTTATTATTATTATTATTTTAGAGATGGGGTTTCACCATGTTGGCCAAGCTGGTCTCGAACTCCTGGTCTCAAGTGATCCACCCACCTCGGCCCCCCAAAGTGCTGGGATTACAGGCGTGAGCCACCACGCCCGGCCGCTTCTGAACATTATTAAGTTCAATCTCAAAATTTCTGCCTTTACCAGAATCCCAAGGAGTCCATGAAGTGCTAACTGAATAGCCTCCTTTGGAGTGCAGTTACCATGGGGGACAAGCACTGACTGAGGCCTCCTGTGGCCCTTCTAGGGAAGCCTGTTCCTTGGTATATTTTAATTTTAGTTTTTTTGGAGACAGAGTCTCCCTCTCTCTCTCTCAGGTTGGAGTGCAATGGTATGATCTCAGCTCACTGCAACTTCTGCCTCCTGGGTTCAAGCTATTCTCCTGCCTCAGCCTCCCAAGTGGCTGGGATTACAGGCACGCACCACCACACCCAGCTAATTTTTGTATTTTTAGTAGAGACGAGGTTTCCCCATGTTGGCCAGGCTGGTCTCCAACCCCTGACCTCAGGTAATCTGGCCTCTCAAAGTGCTGGGATTATAAGCATGAACCACCACACCCATTCCCCTTGGTATATTTTGAAGGTAGCATTTCAAATCCGTGAAAAAAAAAATAGATTAGTCAGTAAAGTTGGCTATCTCCTTGTCTTAGTCTTTTCCTGCTATTGTAACAAAATACCATAGACCAGGTAATTTACAAATAACAGAAATGTATTTCTCACAGTTTTGGGAGCTGGGAAGTTCATGATCGAGGTGCCAGCAGGGTCAGTATCTGCTAAGGACCGCTCTGTGCTTCTTGTTGCAGTGTCCTTCAGGAGACTAATGCTGTCCTCACACGGCAGAAGAGACTGGAGAACGAGGCAGCTCTCTGAGCCTCTTTATAGTGCCATTAATCCCATCCATGAGGGCTAAGCCATCCTGGCCTAATCACCTCCCAAAGGCCCCACCTCTGAATAGTTTGGGGTTTGAGTTCCAACATATGAATTTTGGAGGGACACATGCATTCAAATCATATCACCACCTGAGGAAAAAAAGATTTAAATCATTGTGAAAAAAAAAAGGTCCAGGCATAGGAAAGACATATATTTAAACAAAAATCAAACCCGAGGCTGAGCACAGTGGCTTGGCCGGCTCATGCCTGTAATCCTAGTACTTTCAGAGGCCAAGGTGGGCAGATCACCTCAGGTCAGTAGTCAAGACCAGCCTGGCCAATATGGTCTCTACTAAAAATACAAAAATTAGCTGGGTGTAGTAGTGCATGCCTGTGACCTCAGCTATTCCGGAGGCTGAGGCATGAGAATCACTTGAACCTGGGAGGCAGAGGTGGCAGTGAGCTGAGATCATGACACCACACTCTAGCCTGGGCAACAGAGCAAGACTCCATCTAAAAAAAAAAAAAGGCCGGTCGCAGTGGCTCACGCCTGTAATCCCAGCACTTTGGGAGGCTGAGGCAGGCGGATCACCTGAGGTCAGGAGTTCAAGACCACCCTGGCCAACATGGTGAAACCTCATCTCTATTTAAAAAAAAAAAAAAAAAATATATATATATATATATATATATATATATATATATAAACATAACCCATTTTTTGATAAAAATCCCTTTGTTCCCATAACCCCAAATTATCTAGAGATTTAGTCCATCTGCATGTATAGTCCACAGAAAAAAAGAAGTATAAATGTTTAAATCAAACTGATAATAGTGGTTTTCCTAAAAAACTTCTAACTTTCAGGGTATGGAATTTCTGTATTGTTTATCTGCCATGAACATCTAGTATTTAAGAAAATGAATCGTGGCTAATTTAGGAGAAAGGAAATACATGTTGGAAAAATACTAGCACCTCAAAAAATCAATAGGAACTGGAAGATCAGCCTCACAGAATCAGTAGGCGGAAACCAAAGTAGCTCTGCCAACTTTTGCAAACGCCTCTCTAAGGCTGTGATAAACCATCTTTACTCCTTCATGAGTTGGCAGCCAGGGTGAGTTTTCTCGACTGGCCCAGCATGGGTCCCAGGCCCATCCTCCAGCTTTAGGTAGGTTCAGAACTGGAAGGATCTCTCCACTTCAGATTCCATGTTGGGAGGCAAGCACCTAAATTTGCCTGCTCACTAAAAACTACTTTCATCAGAGGAGATGTAACTCCTGAAAAGTAATCAAAGAGAAGTTAGAAAAGGGACCTAAATTCAGGGCTGGCACCAGGTGACAGATGGGCTACAGTTCACCTCTTGGGCTGCTTGACCTCCACAGCCGCCCTTCTGGAACTACTGGGAGGCAAAGTCACGAAACAAGATTGGCAGATTGGGGCCTGAGACAGGCCACAACTTGGTGCCTGGGAAGGACATTTCTAAATCTCTGGAGTATTTTTCAACCTATGAAGACCACCGTGGCTTCTATTTCCTCTCTTTCCTTCCTCCCTTGTTTTCTCAGCATGGCTTTCCCATGAATCACAAAGACACTCAAGCATCTAGAAATCAGAGCCTTTCTATGTGTGGAAGCAGTAGTTTAAGAGGTAATGGGGCAAATGCCAGGCTCAATGTGAAGCCACTGGCTCTGAAAATAAGGGAAA